GATGTTCCGTGATCATACAAAATTTAAAAAGTAACTATCGTAAGAAGGACACTACACAGCGCAGTCATTTCTATTGCATCGGGATTTAACTCTTGTATAGTGTGGCACGTGCAAGCCGAATCGAGTTCAGCGTGGAACTATACAGACCATCTCACTCGCCCTAGGTATAGCCAAAAGTGCGAGATAGAGACGGCGCTCTAGATTCCGCGGAAAGCTTGCAAACTGCGAGGTTTCCTGCGTGAAGTTTGCAGATTTTCCTGCAAATTGGGCTTAAGTTTCTATCGCCAAGATAGACACGGTTTTGTTTTCCGTATTTTCGCGTTTGTTTGCGGCCGAGAACCTTTTCCAAAATATTACTTTCCAATTTGATTTATATTCCAAAGTTTTTATTGGACTTAAACAATGGATAGTTATTAGTATTTTTTAAAATACGCGCTTTTAGATGTTTCATATTTGAGGGATTCAGAAATGAACTGGATCAAGTCCTAGAAGATAATTATGGAGAAAATGAGAGTTTTAAAGTTTCTTAATGCTACTCAATTAAAATAAAACAAGCTGGAGAAGAAAACTTGACACAATGATGCTTTATTATATTTTAAATTGTATAATTGAAACTAAAGTAACTCGAAATATGACTGTGGTCATTTTTAAGAATGTTTGTTTATACTTTTTTGGACTTGAACTATTTTATCTCTGAAAATATTTGAAATTTTAGATTTATATTGGTTCATCGGTACATTCTTCTTCGTCATTAAGGGATTTGTTGACTTCACATTGTCTATTGATAGTGTTTTCTTCGATTTTTATAAAAATTATGGTATATAGGCGGGATAAAGGGAAGAAAATCTTTCATGTGTTGTCTTTTAGTGTGTTACTTTACTTGAAATATGAAATGAATACGTCTGTATGAAATGATAAGATTCTTCTTATAGATATTTAAGTATTTGTAAGAAAAACAGTCTAACTTATTGATGTAATAGTAGTGAAAATAATGATAAATCATAGTATACTTTCAGAATCGATAGAATCAGACTTTTCAGATGGCTGATAATCTAATTTACTTGGTGCAAATGGTTTAGACATTGTTTCATTGTCATCCATTTGATCAAAAAAATAATTTTTTAGCTCTAAACTTCAGCACTTAGCCTCAGCAGTGTTAAAGTCGCGCACAGCTTTAAATTTTATGGACTCGATCCAGTTCACTTCTGAAAGGAATCAACAGAATATTCAGAAACCAAACAGAAACGGGCTATAGTTGCTTAACGCGTGAAGTATAAGTTGATTCATTTACAGTCTGACAAACGGATCTGAAACAACGGAGCAACGGCAAGGGGATCGCAATTTTCTAAAATCATGACCGATTTCATTCATAAAATATCCACGAGCGTGCGGTGTTTCATAAAAATATATCAGGAATTTTTATAATATTTTCCAGTAAAGTTTATAATATTATTTTACTTTAAATGTACCTACATTTTGTTTAGTCATTTGCCAAATATAGTAATATTTGTTAAAACGCGTGTACTAATTACAATCAACACAAATCAAGTTAAAGATATAAAACACAATACAATAACACCGCCACTGGATTTTTCAATAATAGTGACTTTCTACTATACCTAGAGAGGGGCATAAAGTTGGGCATAAGAATCTCGACCAATCAGACTGGATGAATCCGGGATGCCATGATGAATTTTGTCAGCGTTGCCAGCTTACCCTAAGCGGACGTTATCTTAAGGAAATACTTCCCTTTTATAATAGGCAGAATGAACGAAATCAGTTAATTAGATAAATATACATTATTACAATAAGAACTACGTCAACATATTAGCATATATATAATTATGTATGCTGAAATGAACTAAAATATATTCAATTTATAGGTAATATCGAGCAACTTTGCTTTTCTATAATTAAACGTGACAACATCGACTTTTTTACCCGAATTCCTTCCGCTGTTTTAGTTTCGGCCTGTTAGGCCTTTTTTAACAGTTTCTTAAAACAAAAAGGATTTCTAAACACATTTTTTATTGCCTCTATTGTAAATTCCTTAAATCCACCCCCAAAGTTAGTTTTAAGAAATTCTTGAAAAAAGCCTAACAAGCCGAAGCATCGTAAACATATTCGCTTGCTTCCTATAACCATATTAAAAACAGCAGTAAGAAAGTACTTCATAAGTTAAGTGTTCTATTCAATGGACGAATTTTACCACGACACTGATATCATTAATTTGTTATTAGTTTTAATTTAGGGTATTGTATTTTTAAAGAAAAACCGTTTAAAATATCTAAATACAACTATTCAAGAATAGTTTACTTTTTAGCAGATACTTCTATCATTATAAACCTGATGTTCTGTTAGAATGACATTACGATAGACTATCTGCTTAAAACTCAAAACTAAAATATTCTTGAATAGTTGTATGTAGACATTTTTTTCTTCCTAGGTTTATTTTCATAAGATTATTATTTTCCATAACAATTACGTTCAGATTAAAAATATCTTTGTGTACAATTTCCAGACATGATGCTTAGGAGGAAATTATGTTTTGGGTAGTTTCAGAAACAGTTCGCAAACTGGGAGGTTTCATGCATGAAGCTTGCAGATTTTACTGCAAATTGGGCTTAAGTTTCTATCGTCAAGATAGACACGGCTTGTTTTCCGTATTTCCATGTTTGTTTGGGTTTGCTGCTTTCCTAAAATATTATGTCGCCCTCTAATTCTTGTTACAAAATTCTCTTTGCAAATACAGGGTGACCTAATGCCCTGAAAATGCCTCAAATCGGATTTTCTATTTCAGACTTTCAATCCAATCATTTTTTACGAAATAGTTATTATTCTTGTTCAAATTGTTTTTGTCCACCTGGATGATGTAGGTTAAGAATAAAATGCGACATTTTATAATTTAACGCTTACCACAAAAAAGTTGTAAAACGAATTACTTTTAAAAAGAAATAATTTATCCTACTTTTATTCGAAAGCCTGAAATGCTTTAGTGTTGTGGAGTTTCCGACATGACAAAATTTAACTCTTAAGTGGAATGCCACCTTTTAATTGCTGGCATAAAATAGCCCGGGAAGCTGTGCAGCCTGCATATTTATACTGTATGAAACATCAGCCCATTTAAAACGAGGATTCCTTGAAACCAAGTAGTTACCTGATATTTCAGTAATTTAAGTTGCCATTTTTTTCTGTTTTTTTAATGAGATATACCCTAGTCAAACTGGAAATTTAAATAGTTACGTAATGCCGGTATTTAATTTGAATTAATTAAAAATAATTAATAGCTATACACCCGTTTTGTGAATATTTTATTGCAATGTAAATAGATAATCAAATATTTCTTTTCGATATTCTTTTAGTAATTTTGTATTTCAAAGAATTTACATCTGTCTTACTCTATATATGTCAACGTAAACGTTATAGGGGCTAATTTGAAAGTGGTCTATCAATAAGGCAGCGGCACTTTTACCAAATCATCTATCTGAATGCTTGCTTACGCGTATTGCGTTTCGTAGTGCAACAGTCGATTGATGTATGACTCAAGGCTTGGTACAGTATCGCGAAATCTATTGGTGTGCTGTATGGATTATCGCAAAATTATGACAAAACGTCCCTTTACACAAACAAACTCTAATGGATTAATATTACATAAAGTTTTCCATTTATCTATTGGATCTTGTTGATATGGATATAGTTCAGGAACAAATACTCCTTCGTACATAAAGGTCATTGGTGTTTTCTTTTTTTGACGTCAGTTCGTACGTCAATCGTGTATTTAAAAACTATTAATAGATTTACTTGAGTTTATTGAACAGAACCAAAAACAATTCTATTAAAGTTATAAGAGGACATTTGTCCAGAAATAACTATTGTTTTTGAATAAATTAAATAATTCCTTTCCAACAAACTTTGAGTAATATGTCTTTTTAGTTTTTAAATATGCTGTTATTCGTTGTTTATAATTTAAGAAAACTGTAATAATATTGAATCAAAATTACTAGCCTTGGTGGTTTAAAATTTAGACCAACAAAATCCTTTTCTATATTGTTTCGAAAGGTTTTTACATTTTATAATCATTTGATAATTTTTTTAACTAATATATTATTAATTTAGAAATTTAACAAAACTTGATATAAAATTTGAAGTCAATCTATTCAATAATAGGTTAGGGTTATCATATGATTTTTAATGGTTCGATGCTTAATAGATCAGAACTAGCAAATATGTAATTTGTCTTTAAAAATACGCCGTGAAAAATGATTTAATTTTCTAATCCACCTATTCATAATAAATTACTTTGCTTTATGGGTTAGTATACAGTAAATACCAGTTTTCTTTTAAGGTTTAACTACTTTATTGATTGATGATGTGCATTACGAAATATCTAGTGTAAGCTCGGAAGATTGTAAAACTTAGCAAGTCAGTAGAGCGGATGTTCTATTGGAATCGCTAAAACAAGAATGAAAATGGTGGAACGACTATTCGGATATGCCATAAATTAAATTCTTACTCTTATTTTGATGTATAGTTGGTTTCAAATAAATTTTAATTAGTATGTAAAATTTTCTATACAGATACAGTAAAAATATCAGATATTAGCACTTTAATATCTTATATAGACGTGGATTGACCTAATTTAAGCGCAAAAATTTAATACAACCTCTTTGTACGTATAAAAATTAAGAAAGTTATGTATTTACAACATCCCAAGCCAGGCATTTTCACTCTGTTTTTTTTCTTCGTTAATACACATTTGATATGTTTGGTTCAATCTTTTTTTGTTGTGATTCTGTATTTAATTACAAATGTATAGTTTTCAGATTTTTGCCTATACTTGTAGTATAAGACGGTATTACTTGCTAAATTTCATAGTTCTAGGTCAATGGAAAATACCCTATAGATTTTTATTCCCTTGAGAATGTCTAAATATACATTTTTTGCGGCATAAACGGCCGTATCTTTTTTACGTTAACTTAGGAGTTTTATTTTTTTTACAGACTCAAGGGGCTCTAGAGCTGAGTATATGGTTTAAATTTTAACCCGATACTTCTACGCGTTCCCGAGACAGATGGCAGACGGTTGGATGGACAACAAAGTGATCTTATAAGAGTTTCTGTTGAGGTATGGAACCCTAAATATGGACACAATTTAACTGAATACAGTTGCTGTGGTTTGTAGAGTACAGTGTTTAAAAGTAAGTTTCAGAGACATACACTTCTCCAATAAATTAACGCACCACATTATGAAATCATTTGATTATTGAAATTAAAAAAAAAACATAACGTAAAGTTAATTATAGTTAATCTGGGCTATGTTTTCTTTAAGCTTAAGAATAATTTCGAAAAACTAAAAAAAAAAAATTCTGAAATTAGCGGCAAAAGCAAAATTTTACAAAATTGACAAATGCATTTTTAGTTTGGTTTGGTTGGTTAAAAAAAGTTAACAAAAAATTGGCGCATATTGTGCAAAAACTATTCACAATATAAACTGCTGGTAGGAGTTTCTTTTTGGAAAAAAGTATACCGGGTCTGTTTTAAAATCACATCAAGTTTTCTTAAAATTTCAAAGTAGTGCGTTAATTTTTTGGAGTAAGTGTAATTTTCGTAAGAATAAACTAAAAAAATTGGGTACAGGGATATGGCTAGTACTGTAAATTTTCTTCCTCTGTTGGAATTTAATTTAGCGAATAACGAACCGTGTTAAACAGTAAAGTGGTGAATAACGGCAATTAAGACGGTGACAATTCGGTTAAGTAGTCGAATGCAACGTGCTAGACTCAATGGTAAACAACTAATTCGTACTATACGCATTTGCGCCAACAGTAACAACAAGCAATTAAGTGACGGTTGATGCAATTTCACGTGCACCACAACGTCTCGACTATTGTCGAAGGTGTACGCCTTAACTCAATACTGCCGCACAAGATCAAAGGCGGCCACTAGGAGATTTTAGGCCGGTAAATCCAAATTAGATGGACAGATCCAATTTAGGCCTGGGCCCTTAATAATGCTGGATTAAATCGCCATTCCTGTGTCCAGTCTTATTTGAATGATTTATCGGACTTAATTTAAGTTTTTCTTTGTACTCTCTACCGCTGAATGCCCTTTTAGAACTATATTTTCACCTTCTTTCCATACCATTATATTACTCTGAAATGTGGCAATTTTGGCGAGAACAGTAATGGACGTAGAGGACGTTTTAATCTTCATTAAAAATAGCTGAAAAACAAGCGCCCAAAAAATTAATTTTCTCACAAAGCCAAGGTAAGTACGCATTGCAAGGCGTATATATTCTGAATCTATATAAAATTGGCTATAAATTCTCAAATTTTCACAATGTTATGACTATGTTTACTATGTGTCTAAGTCCTTTGAAAATATGTAAAAAATAGCCAAATATTTTGGTCAATTTTTTCCACACATTACTACATACTCATAAAATTTGTAGATTTTGATGAAACTCTTGTTTTTTACTAATTAGAAAGTGTGGATCACGAAAATGTAGGCCATTTTGGCGTTACGAGTTCTGAATCACCTGCAGGCAATATTTTAGCTACTATGAAAAATCGTTCTAAAAATCAAGTTTCTTAAAAAACCTAAACACAAACCTCCAAACCATTATAGATTCTAAATCTAGTAAAATAAAACATTAAATCACCACAATACACCAAAACACTTACTTTTACACTGGACGCGCGTTTCGCTAACCATGTTAGCATCATCAGCAGATGATTAAGACTCATCTAGCAGGTGATTAAGACTCATCTGCTGATGATGCTAACATGGTTAGCGAAACGCGCGTCCAGTTTAAAAGTAAAAGTGTTATGGTGTATTGTGGTCAGTTAGAGTTTTTGTGGTTATTTAGTGTTTATTTTGCTGTGTAACATCAAAGGTTCCAACCCCCAACTGTTATCTTCTAAATCTACATAAATTTTCCCACAAATACTGAAATTTTGAAAACCAACTGATTACTATTTTGATGAAACTACTGTTATTTTCTAACAATATAATAAATACGTAGAATACACTCATTATACAATACGCCATACTTATTTGATGTATAGGATACTTCAAAAAATTGAGAATTAAGTAGAATGTATTCTAATGTTTCTTTATTTTGTTCTATAGGTCCAATTTTCATTGCAACCAAGAATTAAGAGTCCAACAAAGACAATTTTGAGTGATTTAATCAACATACGGCGTCATTATCATGGTAAGTCATTCAAAAATATGCATGTTATAAAGTATCTTTCTTTTATTTTTATTAATTGCACATTTTTAAAGAATACACCAAAATATCTTGACTATTTCAATAATTGATAACCATATTTATAATTATAATATTTACATGTATTATTATAAATTTTTTGAGAGTTTTAGTGGTTCCATATTAAAATAAAGCGAACAAAAGCATCCATTATAGCATCATTGTAATGAAATACTGAATATAATTAGCTTTTTTGTTTGGAATGAAAAAAATGTAAAGCAAAGGAGGCATGGATTGATATTTGCATATTTTCCTTCCCGACACATTGTGTGGTCAAAGAATTAACATATCTGATAAAAAAATATTGGATCATAGTAAATTATGCTGCAAGAAACTTTTCACTGAGTAAACAAATTATAAAGTTGTCACATACAGAAGTTTTTTAAATATTGTTACTGTGCATTAATTCATTGTTAGCCAGTTAGTTTAATACATGAAAATGTTAAATTACAATAGCGATTTCTCAATTATATTTGTATTTTATTTTTTCAGTTACTTCTATTTTATACATAGGTGGTATGTAATAATAACCACGATTGAGAGTATTTATTTATACATATGTTTACAGTGTATAGTTTTGATGAGAGTGTATAATAATCTGCCGTTGACAGTGTGCAAAGAAAACAGGTTCACAATTTGGGCGATTTAACTTTGTCACATGCAGAGCTGCAGATATACGACGTTGATAGTAGTTATTATGGTTCTTTATTTTCATACATTTGTTTCCAAACGACTTTGATTTGTTAGGATTTCTGTTAGTAGAATTCATTTTCAATTATTGGAAACAATAGAGAGAGAGAGAGAGAGAGACACAATCTGTATATGATCCATAAATTATTACAAAATAAAAATATGTACAGTGTGTAGAAATACTGTCCTAAACTTCAGTGGGTTTTACTACAGAAAAAAACAAAAGAAAAAGTTCTTATTAACATATGCTCTAAAATGATTCCTGGTGAAGTTATAGCTCATGAAAGGGTAGTAAAAATATATTGAACATTGCATACTGTTTTCCTCAAAACTTCAGGTAAGCGGGTCATAGAAACTTTTACTTTTATATTGATATGTAGTGTCACCCTTTAAAAAGATTGGTACACTATTCCTATTACATCAATAGGATATATGTGTTTAAAAAATCAATTTTCGAATAACTAAATTTTTAATTACCTTATATATATACTTTCTGGTATCAAATATATGCGCATTTTCTTAATACATTTCTCTACCAAGTTAAATATTTAAAGATATTTAAAATATTTTATAATGGTTAAATTACGTTTTGAATGTGCCTGTAACATTCCACATATGGCCAAAATCTAACACTATTCGGACTGGCTGAATTCTTTACATATGTATGTAACTGGGGCATCAGATTTAGTTAAAACTTTTAACTAAATAAACAGAGATTGGGTTTATACGATTGTAGTTCCCCAACTGTTTGATGTACGTTACTTAAGTTAAGGTATTAAAAATTTAAAATAAATACCCTGGTTTGTTCAAACGAGATTAAATTAAATTGCATGTTAATCTAGAGTCTCTTTTTCTCGGTAGCTAACTCGCGATATAGTTTAAATACTATGGATGAAGTTTGTCATTTTTACAAAGCTTGGCTGGTTATGAATATAGTGGCATATTTTGAGAAATATTTGTCTAATGATAATAATAATGTGTCTATTTTTACAAATTTGTTTTCTAGACTAATAAAATAAGCAATGAAAAGTAACATAAAATGGATAATGAGAATATAGAACTAATTTTCAAACTGCAAAATATTGGTAGATTATTCTTGAGCTTTCTAGAAAATTTAATGTTTCTTGATTCCCTGTCGTACCTTTTATAGGGCTTAATTTAATCTTTTAAATCCTTTTTAAAATTCTATATTTTTTGTTTTCGCTGGTGTGACTGGTCGGATAAACGTGCAGCATACGTTTGAATAAGACAAATTGCCCAAATCTTTAAAAAGTGTATATAAATAAACAAAAGCCGGGATTTAGATACCGATTTGAACGACCTTTTGTTTGTGTTTGATCCTGTTTGAATCGCCAAAAATATTTATCCTGATTTTGCTTGTCGCTCTTTATTCTTATTTTATTTTTCAAACAAAAGAAAAAGAAACAAAAAATATATTTTTTTTTAATTATGAAAATTTCTTTTAGAATTTCATTTAAATTTTTTTGTTATATTAATATTCTACATATATTAATATTATTTCAGAAATCATGTGCCATCTCTCTTGGGGAGATTCCTCACGTAAAAATAAGATTTATTTTTTATATTAACATATATGCTGTTTTGTTTCCTAGGGACAGGGGGTTAAAATCTTAATTTTTTTCTGCAAAGTGTAAGATGTTTAATGCCGATTAAAAGCTGTATCTTGGTATTTTGTCGATTCTGGTCTCCTTGATGAGCTGAATGCAATTTTATTAATTTGCCGAATTCCAAGTCTAATAGCAACCTTTAGAATTTTCTAATGTTATTAACTGTTCAAAGTATTAAATAAGTACTCATCAATTCCTCATAAAAAATATGGAAAAATGTTCCTATAAACATATGTAGGTGCGGAAATGCATTGTTTTAAAGTTACATGATGTTAAAACTTTAACAAACAGGTCGTTTTTAATTATCTTAAAAACCATTTTTTTTTAATTTGCTATAGGTATCACTGAACATCAGTGTTATAAACTTCAATAAAATTTAATAAATTTGATTAAATAAATAATTTATTAATTTTAATTTTTTTAATTCTGATTAATAAAGTCGCGTTTATCCCATCAAGAAGATCGAAATCGACAAAATATCAAGATCTAACTTTTAATCGACATCAGACGGCCTTTACATTTTTTTTAACAAAAAGTCAGTGGCGCACATGGTTTTTTAGAAAAAATATTTCAGTGATATTCCATATGCACGTCCCTGGTAAGTGTGTCGACACTTTCAGAGCATTGGACACATGTTTTTAAAACACCCTGTGTAATTATATTTATGATCCCTTGGAAACGTCATCATTATCAGGCGTAGAAATAATATTTTATTTAACTTTCCTATGTCACTGATTTTCTTTCAGTGATAATTGACAGTATGAGAGGCGCCACCCTGTATTTTAGATAAATATTTGAGGAGTATTAAAAGGAAGTGACAATGGCGATCAATCAATGAATGTCGAACCTAACGCAGCATTTAAACTTTTCTACAAAATATAAATGGCCGAAAAAAAATGATTAATTATCGGTTATAATCAGCGGAGTGGTGAAACTGAATGAACATTAAGGCCACGTCTGTGCCATTAACCTAATATCAGCTTAATCTAGGTCTAAAGTAGTTTACTGATAACAACTTCTCCAAGAAGTCCATGGATTAAAGAGTTATGTTAAAAGTTTGCCAACAAATGCGTCTGTTATTCTTTCACTCGCACTCCTTTTCTAACAACAGGAGAATACTGCGGACGCATAAAATTACTCTTGATTTGAATTAATTGAATATCTCAAATAGGGGTTCAGGAGTGGTTCCTAAGTCTAAAAAAATTAGGGTGTGAATCCTCATATGTTGACCTATTATGGCAAGAATTTTTTTTAAGAGATATTTATAAGTCCATGTTCATGTACATTTTTATTCTTAAAAACGTACAAGGAATCGCACCCACTAATTTTTAGGCTACTTAGGAAAAACCCCGTAGATTTTATAGGTTTCTGGTTTGAGATTTTTACCACAATACACAGGGTGTATAAAATAAAACAAAAAAAACATTCCTTGAAAGGTAGATGAAAATAATATATTTAATTTATTTTTAAGAACATTAGTAATTCTTACAAAACTTTTTATCTCATTTGATACAGTAATTTCACTCAATCAGTCAATTTATTAGTTTGCTAGTTTACATCCTGGATATACAATTCTAGGAAGTAATTAAAAAACAATCTTCAATATTAATGTTTTTCTGGATGATATGAGTTAACAAGTTTTTAATGATAAAGGAAACTTTATTTACTTATTCCACTCATAGAATTGGTTCAATTAAAAAAAAATGTGAAATAGGAAATAATAAATTGTCATATGGCCTTGAATCGTCATAACTAAAATAAAGGTATTTCTCTGATTAAATTAAATGTTTTTATATAGTTTTGAAAATTTGCTAATTCACTGATATTGAACTAATAATAATAATAAAATAGCATGTTTTAAAGTAGACCTACATACTAGAAACATAAACAATAAATAAACATAAAACATTATACGCTATTATTACTGAAACGGATTATCGATGAGGCGTTGCATTTGTAATAATTGATATCTGTATTTAAAATAATAATATTGTTATTTGGATAATTAATTAATGAAAAATAATAGTCGGAATTTCGGTATCAAATTGGATAAATTAATCTCTCTAAAATATACGAATTTGCATGTATTGCGGATAGGATGAGTCAACAAATGTGCTAAAGTAGATATAGAAATTTATGAATGATCTCTTATTTTGTATTGAAATAAATCAGATCAGTTCCAATAAATACCCAATATAAACTCTCGATTATAGATAGTTTTTTCTTTATCCCACACTTGTGATAATTCTATAACTATTCAATTAGAATATTACTGTTAGGTAAAGGGATATAATATTGTCTCGAGATATTGATAATGTATATATAATATGTATATTATAATTGAACATACTGTTTATCATATCTATAATTACTATATAGATTTAGATTTCATATAAATAATACATTATACAGTTACTGCGGATTTTGCAATAGCAAATCTCTTTTTTATAGTCTGTAGAGTTGTTATAATTTTTTAACAATTTATAGTCAAGAAATATGTTCATTTTTAGAGAACAATTATTATAGTTATTAAAATACTGCAAGCAAAACAAAATTAAAAATAGAGTAACTTGTTAGACTTTTTCAGTAATTATTGTTAAAAAATGGTGTTAGAACAGTTTTATTTAA